TTATGAGAAACTAATTCGTATTAACACGTCCATGAAAATTTGAGTGGATCCTGACCGAACTCGAGTTCCGAAGAGAGAATGCTGTTGTTTTTACCTTCTCGATCATCCGATTGTAGTATATTGCTATTATATCAATATTTTGTAATGTATTAATATAACCTATATTAAAATAAGGACAAAGTGTTCAGTATTTCATTATTATTTAAGAATAGAAAAGTGTGTCCAGATTTTCTATAAGTAAATAAAAAAAGTAGTACTTAATGTAGTGTCAAAAAGATAATGGAATTTGTGACTTACTTTCGTAAAATATTCCCCTTTTTAACCTTATTTGTAATATGCACTAAACATTATCTTTATGTTTTGATTAATTTATATTGAAATGTGTTACGGAAAATTTAAATTTATATCAAAGTAACAATTTTTTATTATAATTTTATTATTTTGAAAAGACGGAACTTAATTGTTCCTTTACCGTGAATTAAGTTTGATTGTAATAAGCAAAGAAAGGAATGAAAGAGTGTAGAGAAACGAGTTTTCTTAAGACAAATTTTCGCATTAGGTATGCCTTTATACACTGATACGTCTTCAAAATAGAAAGTAATAGTAAAAGTCATTAAATTGAATTTAAGTCACAAACTTGATACAATTAATAGCATCGGATAACATATTTTTTTAAATTTTTACAATTTAAAATTAAACCAGAATAATAGAATGCTATGTAAATTATTAATAAATATCTTTAATAAATTACATTATTTCTTAGTTGATATAGTAAATCATCTAGGCCAAGGGTGGGCAACCTTTTTTATAACATGGGCCAGAATAAATTTTACGTTTTCTCCGCGGGCCATAGTAGTTAATTGACACCTTGTGACCAGTAAATTTTTAGTCTGCAAATATGAAATAAATAAATAAAAATAAATTAATTACTACAGTCGACCCCCCCTATAACACTGTTTATTATTCCGTTTTATATGAATTCCATGTTGTATGAGTCACTTAGATTTTACAAATGCGTGTGCCGGGCTGTGAACGGCTCACCTATTTGTAAAATCTAAGTGACTTTAAACACAATAAAAACAGCACTATGTAGTTGGATACGACAGACATTACATTTTCTAATTGCATAGCTTTTGCACATAGATTTTCTTGATGGATGATGCGATGAGATATAAATAATTTAGAAAAATTCTGTTCTCCCATTTTTTGTTTGAATAAGGAAATTACTCGCTTATTTTTTCCTGTCATTGCTGCCACAACACTTCAGAAAATAATATTCAATTTAAACTAGACGAATTACATCGAAAAATATTTATTTATAATTTCTTTTAAACATCTCGCGGGCCAAATAGAAACTTTTCGCGGGCCGGGGGTTGCCCACCGTTGATCTAGGCATTAACTGCGAGACATGATTATGTTTTGGCTTTTATGTTTTAACGCCAGTTCGAAGAAAATTCTTTGATGTCGATAAGAATTATGTTATTTGATTTTATTCAAAGTTTAACAAAGGAAATCATCATATTAGTGATATATATATTACTGACAAGTAAGTAATGGTTTAGTTATATTACATCGTCGCTCAGATATGTAAATTACCAGATGAATGCATGCCGATATGAGAAAACCAGATTCGAATACATTGCCGTACATTTATGATTTTTTTTATGGGTAATACGGCCATCGTTTCTATGTCTAATCCATTATGACCAACCCAAATTAGACCAGCTCCTACAACGAACAAAATTGAGGCCATCTATATTTGAGGCATCGGCAAATAACGTGATGCGAAAATAAATTCAAATTCTTTTTACATAATTATGGTTGACGATTTTGTCTAAAATTCTGAGGATTAAATGTTACCAAGAATCGCCATTCTCGTATTAAAATTATAATAAAATATAAAAAATCATATAGAAAATGTCAAAAAGTAATAAATTGTCACTATAAAACTTTTTTATTTCGTAAAAATCTGTCAGCACGAAGTTTTAGTTTGGTTTGTCACGACTTCTTTTATTATGATTTAAATATAGTTGATTTGATCTCTTTAACGTAAAGAAAATTTAGTTCAATTTATAAATAATCGAACTGTAAAGTGATTTAAATTCGAAGTGATGTATCCACTGAAACATTCTATTTTTATGTAATTTATAAATCCTCACTTAACGTATTTTCGTTATAACTCATTGAGGAAAGATACATAAACAAAAAAATTGATTTTGAGGCAAAAAATTAATGGTAGAGGTTGCAAACACGATTCAAAAAGAATAGTAACTGAATTATATCTTATTTAAATGAATTAGCGTATGGTAAAATTGACTTCGTTATACGCAGTTTCGCTTAATGTCGCAATTTCCAAAAAGCTATCGACAACGTAAGTGAGGACTTGCCATATTAATTTAATTGAAATTTAATAGTTGATGATAATTTTTCAAATATAATAATTGCATTTCTCTTTTAATCATTATAACTTAATAAAACAAGATTTTGATAGAGTAAGACTTATATGGAAGGATATATTTATAAGCAAATTTTACAAGATAATTTAACATAGTACTTTCTTACACATATTAAAAAACCCGCCGAATTCTTTTGCATTTCGCGATGTTTCAAGGACCCGAGTTCAAAAGTTAAAAATTTTGGGGAGGTCATTTTTTGTCCAATCGCCTTACTTTCCCTCTGTTATATTTAACAGCCAGGAAAGTAAAAATTGGAGGAATGTTATAATAACTGCATAGAGTTGAGAAGTGATTATATTGAAAAAAATTTATTTAGTTCATCAAATTTCCTTTTTTTCTAGGAAAAGTTGTGAACTTTTCAGCACCCCAGTGCAATCATAACTTATAATATTTAATAAATTTAAATTTTATACCAATTATTTTTAGATAGTAAGTTGTCTTCATATTTCCATGTAACAGACGTAATATTCAGATTATTTAAAAAAACACTTTTGTATAATTAAATGATTTTATTCCTTTTACTGGTTTTTATAGTATTTTGGGTGTCGTTTTATTATTTAAATTCTTAATAAAATATGAAAATATGAATGATTTTAAGCTTTTTTTTAAACAAGTCATACATTTTAATTTTTTACTGTATAAATTCTCTTATAGTCATGTTTCTGGATTATCCATTTATCTTACTCCACGCTCGTAATTATTTCTACAGTGTCAGTTATTTCTATATGAATAAGATCCAGTACTCCCGATATGTAAAGCACTCCACACTGAGCACAGTGTGGAGTGCTTTACGTTTGTATATGTCAATTCATGTAACTTCAACAACATTCCAGATTATTACAATTATATTCAATTTTAAATGCATGTTCTATATAACTCATTTGTATTTGTTGCAGAGTAAGACCATATACCATCGTCAAAAATTTTACTGAATTGAAATTTTGGTTTTCTGAAATAAACTGTTTGATCTTATATAATGTAATCATATGAATAATAATAATTAGTGATACTCAACTGTCTGTTTATTAAACTCGTTTACTGAGTGTATGTTTGGAAATGCTTACCGATCGGTTGATTGGAAACAGTAAATGACGTCATCAGTAACTTATTTGGTACCAGACTCATCGATCTTCGAAGGTGAATTAAAGAGTGACCAATTATTTATGTCATTCATCACTATTATCCAACTGATCGGTAAACGTTTCCGAACAGATCTTAAATGTGCACTCGTTAATTAGAGCCGCGCTTTCTGCAGTTATTTTTAATCCGTCTAAGGCTGCGTACCCACTAGGCGTTTTTAAACGCGCGTTAGCTCGGCGTTCGACGAGCATTTAGTGGAGCGTACACACTGGCTCGATTTGGAAATGGACGTGGAAGTTATTGCTTGTGTATGGCTCCTCTATCGTCGCTATAAAAGACGACGCGTCCCAAAAGCGCGCGATGGAATGTACAACAAAATGGCAGCACATATATCTCAAAGCGCCCGCAAAACGCGCGTTTATAGTCTAGATTTTTCTTAAAACGCGCGTTTTGGTGGGCGCTTTGAGATATATGTGCTGCCATTTTGTTGTACATTCGATCGCGCGCTTTTGGGACGCGTCGTCTTTTATAGCGACGATAGAGGAGCCATACACAAGCAATCACTTCCACGTCCATTTCCAAATAGAGCCAGTGTGCACGCTCCACTAAACGCTCGTCGAACGCCGAGCTAACGCGCGTTTAAAAACGCCTAGTGTGTACGCAGCCTAATTCTGCAAGTTAGTTGACTTCTTCTCTCGACGTCATTCCTTTGAACAATCGGCTAAGTTGATGGACACAATTATATATTCGTCTGGTGCTCGAACGCACCAGACGAACACGTAACATACAAATCCGAAAAATTCGTGGGATTTTTCTTTTAAAAAGAGAATGGTTAACATTCTCCATTGCAGAAATTCCATGTCTTGATACAACCAAAACTGGTACCAGTTATCAACCTTTTCTATAGATAATATATTATTTTTACAATGCCTGTTTAACGGCAAATGTTTAAATTTTTAACTCTCCACTCTATGGACACTAAGCTGGCTCTTTTAGCAAGCCCATTATGAATATGACCAGGTTCACAATAGGTGGCATGGGTGTGGCTGAGTAGTGCGGGAAGAGGCCCAAACGGATCAACTCCGAAAAATTCCTGAGGTTTTTCGATCTGACGGGATTCGATCCCGGCACCTCCAGAGCGGTAGGCCGCCATGGTTAGTGCTCGGCCTTCCAGTAGTCTAATTGTCTCTCACGATAATTTTCAATTATTAATTTCTACACTAAATGTAAATTAATTATATTCGTGAAAATTTTATAAAATATTTTAGGGAAATTTTTATTTATAGAAAAATCTCTATAAATTAAAACTTACTTTTAAAAAATTAATAAAAGTTAATAGTTATATAATGATTATATCTTACAATTTACTCCGAATATTGATTCCAAAATTATTAAATGATTGAGATATTTTGTATTTATGACATAGAATTTTTAATGTGGATAATATATTTTCAAAAAATAACGTTTTCGAACGAATTTAAATATGAAACCACCAATTACAAGCGAAGAGTCGTTTTTAAAATTTACGTTTGATAACGTTCTGTTCTTTTTAAGAAATTCTATAATTTTGTTTTATATTTTTAGTTTTGACGGTGAAAATGGAAAGTATACGAGAAAGAATAGAGTGTTTGATAAGAAAGTCTCATCTAGAAAAAATGAAAGAGCTATTATCGTCCACTTCAGATGATGTAGTCGAAGATAAAAAGATCGACTTTGACACTTTCAAAGTTCTGATAGAAAGTGTCATTTCAAAACCAATTACGGAAGATGAAATAAGAAGTCTTTTCGATAAAGTGGACATATATTGCAAACAAGAAATAACTTGGAGACAATTTATAGCTTATATTATGAAAGACTCCTTCAACAAAGATATGATTCAGTCTTTTGGACTTCATCGGCCCTTCAAGGAAGATACTAAAACGATAAAAACTACTGAAGGAGACGAATTGGAATTCGTAGGCGACTACAGAACCATGAAACTTCCCAGAAATGATAGTATTAAACAGATTATATACTATGAAAATCATATTCAAGGGAAATCTTGCCTATCTGAAAATGGTCAATACATAGTTGTATCCGAAAAAGGTATTTTAGATTTTCTATCTGCTGAGTTACGTCGGATCAATCGACTGGATGCTCTTGGTCAGATATATTATTCTGTTTGTGTTAATGCCATGATTTTCATGATGAACGCAAAAATGTTAGTCATTTCGACTAATTTGAGAGATATCCGTTTCTACGTCTGCCATCCGTTTTTCTTCACGAAAAAATATGAAATAATAGGCTTTTACTATGATATTATTTGTATGGATTACGCCATCGATCCGGAAGATTTTAAACACGGATATCTATCCATAGGAAACGATCACGGAGATGTTGGTTATTTTAACTTTACGGAATGTGAAATTGGCTCTCCTTTTGGAGTGAATACTCTCTATGGTCTCTCGTCTGTCATTCATGTAAAAGAAATAATAAACGGAAAAATAACAAGCATAAAATTAAATTGGTTCGAATTCAGTTATGATGATTGGGTAGGACAGGTGAAATATGTTGAACGTATTAATTCTATCATATCATGTGCTGCTAGTAGCAATGTATCTCTTTGCATTCATCCCATAACCAAAAATGTTCATCACAGATTTAAAGTCAGGAGAGGAATTTTATGTTTTGACTATTGTTATATTCAAAATTTGATCATAACTGGGGGAATGGATTACTCAGTTCGAATATGGAACCCCTACGTTACAAATAAAGCCTCTGCTATACTTTTAGGCCATGCATCTCCAGTTGTGAAAGTGTTCATGGATAGTAAAAGACATCTTGCTTTCAGCATTAGTATGTGCAAATATATTTTTGTTTGGGATATAGAAAGACAAGAAGCAGTACTGAAGATAGATGGAAATTTCATGACTCTCGACAAAACTCCTTTAAACTTGAATACCGGGCGATTCAGACTGACTTCAGCCTTTTATAATCCAAATTCTACTACTATCATTATTGGTAGCAATAATTTGGAGATTTTTAAACCTCGACATACACAATATCATAAAGAGATAAAAAGTCATCCAAGTAGAATTTTAGATGTACTCTTCAGTGACAAATACGAATACATTATCAGTGGTTGCGATAAATATATAAAAATTTGGAACTTAAAAAATGGTGCTAAAATATTACAATTTGAACCAGTTACAAAGAAAATGATTAAAGATGGCGATGTTATTACAGCAATTACATTAGATGGAAGCAAGAAAAGGTTGATAACTGGTACCAGTTTCGGTTGTATCAAGACATGGAATTTCTGCAATGGAGAATTATTAGTAGAATTAAGTATTAAAGACCGAAAGGAAATAACTAAAATTGTCGTCTCTGATAATAAGATATTCGTAGTAGGCAAAGATAAACGAGTTACAGTGTTTCATGATAGTGAATACGAATCTAAGAGAAGAATATGGCAAATTGTTCATAAAGAAGACATCTCCGGCTTAGTAGTTAATAAAAGGAATATCGTGGCGACTAGCTCTTACGATGGTGAAATCGTATTATGGAGTATAGAAATAGGTTATACGAAGCATATACTTCACGATGATAGAAAGTTGGATGATGTAGAAAGATTAACTGAACAAGAACTAAGGATGATTAAGAGAAATCGACCTACTTTTTCGGAAGTGCCTAAAACTCTTAACATACCAAAGAAGCCTTATGCTTCTATAGATAATATATTATTTCTACAAACACGTCTACCAGCTTCGGGAATTGTTAATCTTTTAGCCACTGGAAAAGATGGATATATAAGAGGATGGGCAATTGATGCGGAATGCACACTTCTCGTGAGATTCTTTGGAGCAGTATTAAGAAAGGATGCTATTACATGCATGAAAACTAACAGTGAGAATACATATTTACTGACAGGTGCGAATTTTATCATTAATTTAATTATTTTTGTTTTGAGAAGATTAATTTTTCTATTTGTACTATAAGTTATTTATAATGTAATATAAATTCATGAGTAAATATCTTCCACAATCTTAAAATATTAATTTAATTGGAAAACTGATTTTCTTTAACTGATTCTGTAAAATATATTTGAACTTTGCCAGTTCAAATATATTTTACAGAATCAGTGCGAACTGCAAATAGGCCTATATGTAATTGAAAGTTTTGCTTAATTTTATTTTCTCTTTTAGTTATAAATTCACAATATTTTTAGATTTAATTATTAAAATAACTAACTTTGTAACTCCTAAGTGTTTCATGCGTAAAATTATTCTTATTCTTATTATTATGTTTAATGCGGATGCATATGAACACAAAATTAAGGTGATATTAACCTTCCTAGCCCGAACCTGATAAACATAACTAAATTAACATAAATGCAAAATTTACTCAGTAATATCATGGATATTTTAGGTGTATGTATATAAATACATTGTAGTGAAGTATATGTTTGAAGTGAAACCACCCTCACCCTAATGTCGAAAACAGTACTGATTAATTTGTATTTTTGGTCATCATATTTGCAAATACGAGGTCTGTTCAAAAAGTATCGGACTTTTATTTTTTCCGCGTAAACCAATGATGCGCGGGAGGCCTCTTTCGGTGGAGTTGTGGAGGGGACAGTCATGCACAGCCCTGAATTTTTTCCCGCCTGCAGGAAGCGTCAGTCGTTGGCAGTCGGCCTATGAGTGAGGACATGTAGTGAGCTCTCGTCGGATTCCACTAAGTTGGAAAATGACTGAACGTGAGCAGCGATATTACATCAAATTTTGCCAAAAACCTTGGCGATACCCAAGCGTAAATCATTCGCAAGATTCAGCAGGCTTTCGGGGACGATCCTCGAGGCCATAAAAAGCGCGGCAGGTCCGCAGCAATATCAAGATCATTCTGACAGTTTTTTCGACTCTCGTCGGGTGGTGTATCGTGAGTACGCACCACAAGGCCAAACCATTGCAAAGGAGTACTACGAAGAGCTCCATCGTGATAACGCATCCGCCATTCTGCGCATTTGATTCGGGCTTTCGTCGCCAAACATAACACTCCTGTGGTTCGTCACGCTCTGTACTCTCGCCACATGACTCGTGTGACTTTTGGCTATTTCCTAATCTGAAAATGCCGCTAAAAGGAACCCGATTTTAGTCGAGAGAAGACATCGTGCGGAACGCGACGGACCGGCTGATGGCCATTCCAAAAGATGCGTTCCAGCAGTGTTTCCAGCAATGGCAGGAACGCTGGGAGAAGTGTATACACTACCAAGGAGACTACTTTGAAGGGGATAGGGTTTTGTACTTCAAAATCAATAAATGTATTTTTGCCGACCAAAGGTCCGATACTTTTTGAACAGCCCTCGTAGTATTTCAGACGTGTGTGTATAAATGCATTATTGTGATGTATATGGTGATGGTGCCTCAACTTGCAACATTTTAAAAAACTTTTTAAAAAAAATAAATTTTTGATTTATTACATTTTTGTATAAGCATATTTTTTAGCGGTCGGATGACTGAGGCAGTTAAAGTGTAGCCTACCGCTCTTTTTGGAGTGGTCCTTCTTCACCATCCGGTCGCCCCATTTTGGGTCTGCCGAACCAACGATGAGTCACTTAGTGCCCACAGGGCAAAAGCAGTAAAAAATCTTTTAGATTAATTGCAGCAATCTTTTCTAAATTAAATTTTAATTAATATGTTAAACTATTGAATTTGTAAATAAAGTAAAATAGTTTTTTCTTTTCATCTATAAGCTTTGCTAGTTTATTAGAAACTTTATAAATTAATTTCTAATACGAAGTATATACTGAATTTCTAATACGAAGTATATACTGAATTTCTAATACGAAGTATATACTGAATTTCTAATACGAAGTATATACTGAATTTCTATACATTTCAAAACTATCTTCCGTCATTTTTGTATAAATATAAATTTTTTAAAAACTATATAAAGATAATAGAGAGGTTGAGGCACAAGTTCAAACGTTAAACGTGTATGGATAGCAGAAGTACACGTTACACGTTTCAAGTCCAAGTAAAAATCGTTGAGGCACACGTTCATAACATCACGTGGCTCAGTGAACATCGCGCATTGACTCACGGGAAATAAGTTGAAAAAAATGGCGGAAGCAAAATAAATCATAATTTTAACCCCAAACACAAAAAAATGAAGACGTTTAAGCCGATCGTGTACTCACCAAGCTACACGTAACAAACGCCATTATCGACGGTCCAGAACTGCCAGATGGCGGCGCTCACCCGTTACCCGTACACGTTTTGGGCTAAATACGTGCGCCTCAACCTCTCTAATAATACACAATAAATTAATTTTATAAAAAATAAATCATTGTATAATGTTTTTAGGTGATACTAGTGGTTACATCTCAGTATGGTATTTAGCCAATTTTTACAATGGTTTGAACACTGGAAATTTAGAAAAAGAGTTAACATCCTTCACATATACCAGAATTCTTCCCGGTTTCCTTATATGTAAGAAGAAAGTTTTGCCCGAAGAACCAGAACACGATTATTATCTGCTGGGTAAACCGCCTGTACTGCTAAACCGATTCAGAGGTCATACAGTTACCGTTAACTGTATAGAATTCGTAGAAAATTATAAATATATCATCACTGGAAGTACCGATTGCTGTGTTCGACTATGGACCCTCAACGGAAGGTTTCTAGGAACATTTGGAGACAAACATCCATGGAATTTGGATCGCTCTTACCTTGCAACTTCTCGCTATGTCATTCCTGAAGAAATCAAAAGATGTGGAACACCTATGACGCTAAGAGTTGGTATATATTATCCTTAACTCTTTGATTTGAAACAGGTTAATGGAATCTTTATCAATTTTAGGTTTTAAATGGTGGAATGTCAAGACTCTGGAAGGCCACGCTAAATGTCATTAGCTTTCTGTGGATGTTATTAGGGAAGCAGAAGAGAGCTGTAGCTGCTGGTAAAATTATCAAAGAAATTGAAGTTGACAAAAAGAAAATATATGAAGATGATTTCTTTGATTTCAAATTACCGAAACATATTTTGGGAAAATATTATCAACCCAAACAGGAATATATTCCACTACCAAAGATTAATCTTATTTCAAATGAGAAAGAGGTGAGGTGAAACTAATTGACATTTTATTGAATTTAATTACCAATTTCATTTAAAACTCGATACCATATAATCCTGTTAGCGAAGATCTACTCGAAGTAACATAAACTGCCTGATTATCAATTGAAGACATACGAACATATCCCATTTTTAGATTATTGTAAAGATAAAAGTTTTATTCTTCGCTGCATGAATATCTGATAAATATATTTTGATAATCTTTTCGATTAAAAAAAATCTATTTGCACTTCGAGTTATTATGTTTTTAAAATTATAATATGTTTTTTATTTATTTTCAAATTTTAGAATACCACAATGGTATGAATTGTGTAGCATTCATTGAGAATTTTTTTTCTCAATTTTGAATTTTCTCAATTATTAGAATCGATTAAAATTAATTTCAGTTTAATATCAAAAATAGGGAATACAAACATGATTAAAATATGCAAAACCATTTTAAAATCGCTGTTAAAATAAATTGATTCTAGAATATATTCATTCTCTAAAATTTTCTTCACTCTAAATTAGTCATATACACTGTACGGTACAGTATACCTTGTATATTTACATTTTTACGTGTTTATACTAATTTTTATGAAATCAGAGTAATGCAAATTAAAGTATCGCTATTTAGAGAGATCTGTAGAGAGAAACAGTGGGCGAGATGCTGTCATACTTTGCATTTTCCATCTTCTGGAAAATATACTCTTTCATGAAGAAAAGGTTTTGGCAATAAAAAATAATTTTACTACTTAACGATAAAAATATAGTGCTACAAGGATTAGCTTTTGATTTAGCACAGCAGCCAACATATTGACTATTAGTCTTCATTTCATCGTGTTTAATTAATAGCTCACTGAAGACTCCGATTTAAACCTCTTTCATGTGCTGCATTAAAGCAAAGAACAAAATAAAAATCTATCGATTAAAGTTCGTAAGCCTTGAGTAAGTTATGGTTTACTGTCCAATCGTACCCATCCGACGATTAAGGCGGCAGCCTAACCCAGAATCGAAAAACCCCATGAATTTTTCGAATAGTAGTCGTTCGCATAGTTCAAGCTCTGTTCCTCATTGTCCAGTTACTCGTTGTGGGCACGGCCGAACTCATAAAGGGCTTACTAAGATGATCCGGTTAGTGTCCTTTTTTTCCTGTCTCATTTTATATGGGATATCAGCCTTTGCGGCATTATTTCTCCGATGGTGCGATGGTGTAAGTATCCTATGAGCCGGCCGGAGCTTAACTGCTTGGCTATACGTGAGAGCTAGGAATAATGCCTTCCGGGAGGTCTTTTAAGAGTAACTGGTCCCTATCCAGGTATTACAGATGTGGAGAAAACTCGTAAAACTTTACGTGGTTAGACTGTCTTAGCGAGACGCCGAACTCCCAGTGTTCAGGGAACGGAACCTCTTGCCTCCTGTTAGTGTCTACAGGGTAGAAATCGTTTTTAAAAAAATCATACCCATCAGTTCACCCTGTCATAATCTTTTCCCGCTGCAGCGCCATATTCCTTTGATCGTCTGAACTTTTTTAAATTGCCAAAACCGTTTCTTCGTAATCTGGAAAATATGAAGGCGTTTCATCCACTGGTTTTTCTGTCACCCTGTATATTTTTTAAATATAATTAATATAACTAAACCTTCTATATCGAATAAAATCTATGTATATTATTTTTTCATCATTCAAACAAATCTTGCGGATCCTTTCTTTGACTTTATTTTAATAATCTATATATATAAAATTACATGTCCTGACTGACTGACTGATTCATCATCGCCCAGAGAAAACCGCTCTAAAGAGGTGAAATTTGGTACACAGTTAGGGTACGCAATGAGAATGCACACTAGAAAGAGATTTTTGGAAATTCCCTCGCGGGAAGAGAGGGAGAGGATTAAGTGTTAAAAAGTTTTAGCCCCGAAAGGCAGTACCACAAACGTGGTTCACAAAGAGGTACTGGGGTAACTGAAACTCTATTTTTTTGTAAATATTTATACTTTAGGAATTTTCAGATAACGTCATTTACGTTTTGAAAAAAAAAATTAAACTCGGATTTATTGTATCTCGGAATCCCATATTTGAAACTTGAATTTAGGTGCATTAGCAGTCCATAGTTTGAAACAAACAAAAATCAGTAATTTTACCAGATTAGTAACAGCTAATGATTGAGAATCTTAGTGAAATACCGAGGGAGGGTTATTTCTATCAAATTGCAAAATCCGCGCGGGCAAAGCCACGGGTACAGTTAGTTTTACTTTAAATACAATTATTGATATGTATTCAGTATTTCATATTATTTAACTCATAATTAAGAAAACAATGATTAATTAATTGCTGTTATAATAATTACCAATTTTTAAAACAGCACTTTAATTTTTTTTATGTTTTGTTATTATATGAACGATATAAATATTATTCTTTTCTAGGTGTTTCCCTTCATGAGTCTTCCAACATATGAACTGGAAACTATAAATCCTCCTCAGAGAAACTTCGATAAACCGGCGATATTTACGACACTCCCCGGCTTGAAAAAATGGAAAAAATCAGCTTTTGAAACGAGTAAAGAAAAACATAAATTAAAAAAGAAAAGCTAAATTCCGCTATATTTTCGAAATTCTTACTAAGAATAATAAATTTTCAGCTATTTATTAGTCTCGATTACTTCATTGGCTTTAAATATTCAACTTTCAAAAACAAATTATAGAATGCATTTTATTAAAAAATGATAAAACTGCTAAATCTGTACAACAGTAAAAGTTTTATAATACATAAGTTATATGCTCATAAAATTATCTTAATGTAAGCTTATACACGTAGGAACAGGAATAATAAGAAGATAAAATACAGTTGAGCCAATAATCGACAAAAACAAAGAAAGCTGCGTTTTTTTCTTAACTTTCGATTTCCAAACGTTCCTCTTCGTCTTCTTCTTCTTTGTTATTATTTTTTTAAAACTGCGCTCCTTGCCTTCCTCACCTGTTTTTTTTTTTTTTGTTTTTTTATAACTGTGACTACACATTTACATCCATCTAAACTCATATACATATATACATACAAAATCTTTGGTGAATCGTTAAATAANCATTTACGTTTTGAAAAAAAAAATTAAACTCGGATTTATTGTATCTCGGAATCCCATATTTGAAACTTGAATTTAGGTGCATTAGCAGTCCATAGTTTGAAACAAACAAAAATCAGTAATTTTACCAGATTAGTAACAGCTAATGATTGAGAATCTTAGTGAAATACCGAGGGAGGGTTATTTCTATCAAATTGCAAAATCCGCGCGGGCAAAGCCACGGGTACAGTTAGTTTTACTTTAAATACAATTATTGATATGTATTCAGTATTTCATATTATTTAACTCATAATTAAGAAAACAATGATTAATTAATTGCTGTTATAATAATTACCAATTTTTAAAACAGCACTTTAATTTTTTTTATGTTTTGTTATTATATGAACGATATAAATATTATTCTTTTCTAGGTGTTTCCCTTCATGAGTCTTCCAACATATGAACTGGAAACTATAAATCCTCCTCAGAGAAACTTCGATAAACCGGCGATATTTACGACACTCCCCGGCTTGAAAAAATGGAAAAAATCAGCTTTTGAAACGAGTAAAGAAAAACATAAATTAAAAAAGAAAAGCTAAATTCCGCTATATTTTCGAAATTCTTACTAAGAATAATAAATTTTCAGCTATTTATTAGTCTCGATTACTTCATTGGCTTTAAATATTCAACTTTCAAAAACAAATTATAGAATGCATTTTATTAAAAAATGATAAAACTGCTAAATCTGTACAACAGTAAAAGTTTTATAATACATAAGTTATATGCTCATAAAATTATCTTAATGTAAGCTTATACACGTAGGAACAGGAATAATAAGAAGATAAAATACAGTTGAGCCAATAATCGACAAAAACAAAGAAAGCTGCGTTTTTTTCTTAACTTTCGATTTCCAAACGTTCGTCTTCGTCTTCTTCTTCTTTATTATTATTTTTTTAAAACTGCGCTCCTTGCCTTCCTCACCTGTTTTTTTTTTGTTTTTTTATAACTGTGACTACACATTTACATCCATCTAAACTCATATACATATATACATACAAAATCTTTGGTGAATCGTTAAATAACTGCATTTTCGAACAATTATTACTGTAAATAACTTTTTATGAAAATATATTTTAATGCTTTCAAAAATAGAAGTTAATGAATGTTAAAATATTTTGGAATTTCAAATAGGCACGAGTACGCTGCAATTAACTGTTCCTCTATTTAATTAATTAATTAATAATATTTTCCCACATTTTGAGATTCTTTTGAACTTTTTCTCTAAACTTTTACGCAGGAACTACTGTTCATGTTGAATATACCATTCAAAACTATTTTGTGTTTTTAAAACTTTTTAAAAAATCAAATTTACAAATACGTTAGGGGCTGTCCATAAATTCTACCCTCATTTTTCATAAAATTTTTATTCTTTCTCCCCTATTGTCCCAGTTTCCGTAACTCCTCTTCAGACGTCCAACAAAATTCAACTCCCCTTAAAACTTTCATCACTTTATGAACTTATATGCAGGGGCGGACTGGCCCTAAAATTTTTGTCTGGAAAAAGTTATTACCGGCCCAGCCCATAAATAAATAAATGTCTTTTTTTCTATTTATATTTAAATATATTCAAAATACAACCTTGACAAAAATTACATTAGGCACAAGTCTACAACATTAGTTTTTTATTTAGAAGTTTGCTTTGTTGAGCAATAATAATAACAACATCATCAGAATCTATTTCATTTAAAATATCCTCTGATGACATTAACATGAAGGCTTCTAGATTTTCTTGCGAGATACTTGATCTTAGTCTGTTTTTAATGAATTTTAAAGTAGAAAAGCTCCGTTCACAGGACACTTGTGTTACAGACATAGATAGTAAATATTTGTATGCTTGACCAAGTATAGAATAAGCGCCACTTAACATGTTATATCTGAATAATATATTATAACAACAAATAGGGCAATTTTTGCAAGCTTTGCAGTAAGAGGATGAAATCGAATCATTATCGTCTTCTACTTGATCGTCAGTAGAATGTTTATTTTCGTTTAATTTTATAAAAGTTTCACTGACATTTTCCTTTAAAATATTCCATGACGATTTAAAATGTTGCAGTTCTGGAATAATATTGTGTTGAGTTGCTTTGGATTAAACTGTATTAAAATACTGCTTAATTTTTGAAATGCATTTTCAGGAGTATTTTCAGAAAAATTTTTTGGATCCAAACATGCGAAGTCATTATAAAGTAATTGGTTTTTTTGTAAAACGATTCTCCATGCTTTGAATCGCAGTATCTAGTATGTGATTGTAATTGCTTATTTCATACCTCTTCAATAAATCTCTTATCGGTTCGTCCTTAGTTTCTCTACCGTCCATTTGCTTTCTTTTGCGTATTCTAATATCCGGTAATGTATGTTCAACTTCGACATCACATTGCATTTCATCCAGTTTATTATTTACATAATTAACAAACACATCAGCAGAGTTCTTTACAACGTTAAATTTTCGCGATATATCCTTTAATAATTTGATTGCATTCATAACCATACGATGAGCTTTGATGAAATCTATCATTCTTTCTTGCAAATAATTTGAAATCGGTGTTGTAATATCAAATATTTGTAAGAAAAGTTCAGCTGTTAAAACTGTTTCATATTTTATTAAGGAATCTAGAAAAGATTTTGCTTTTATTCGTATGTTTGGTTGAATGTTTATTGATGTAGCAAAATACTGTAATGTTAATATTAATTCAACATATAAGCCATCTTTAGGATTAGCAAAATTACCAAACACTTTCTTCAAGACTACATCTTTGGCCTACCATCGCGTTTCTCCTATCGTATTTAATTTTTTACGCCTAGTATCTTTACTAAAAGAAATCCACACATTCATTCGAATGTACGATTCTCGAGTGAAAATTCCTATTAAATTTAATAGACTAAATAATGAAGCTACAGCAATTGATGACTGAGTAATGCCAGAAATAACTAAATTCAAAACTTAGGCATTCAAAATAAAATTTTTAACATGTTATATAAATAGCACAACATAAAACACCATACATGAACATGCTCCGGGATAACTTCTAGCACAACGGTGGGCAACCCCCGGCCCGCGGGCCAGCTACGGCCCGCGAAAAGTTTCTATCCGGCCCGCGAGATGTTTAAAAGAAATTATAAATAAATATTTTTCGATGTAATTCGTCTAGTTTAAATTGAATATTATTTTCTGAAGTGTTGTGGCAGCAATGACAGGAAAAAATAAGCGAGTAATTTCCTTATTCAAACAAAAAATGGGAGAACAGAATTTTTCTAAATTATTTATATCTCATCGCATCATCCATCAAGAAAATCTATGTGCAAAAGCTATGCAATTAGAAAATGTAATGTCTGTCGTATCCAACTACATAGTGCTGTTTTTATTGTGTTTAAAGTCACTTAGATTTTACAAATAGGTGAGCCGTTCACAGCCCGGCACACGCATTTGTAAAATCTAAGTGACTCATACAACATGGAATTCATATAAAACGGAATAATCAACAGTGTTATAGGGGGGGTCGACTGTAGTAATTAATTTCTTTTTATTTATTTCATATTTGCAGACTAAAAATTTACAGGTCACAAGGTGTCAATTAACTACTATGGCCCGCGGAGAAAACGTAAAATTTATTCTGGCCCATGTTATAAAAAAGGTTGCCCACCCTTGTTCTAGCATATGAGCAGAAAACCCACGATATTTTCCCCGCATATTACTAGCACCATCAGTAGAATTTCCGATATATTTGGTAATGTCCAAATTATTTTTTCCTAGGTATTTCTTTTATAATATTGTAAAAAGCTTCACCGGTTGATGCTTCCACACTGATGATGGCTAAAAGTCTTTCATTTATGTATTTATTTACGTATCTCACTATAATTGCACATTGATCTTGAACACTTATATCTTGTGTGGTGTCAATCTGAATACTGTACTATACATTCCAGCATCATTTATTTCTTTCGAAATTTTGTTTTTAATTAGTTTCGATATTGCTTCAAGTATGTAATTTACAGTAGTTTTTGATAAAAATGTAACTAAGTTGCCACGTCTTTGTGTTCTCTTATCTAAATTTGACTGGTGAATTTTTTTACTCTCCTTAATTAATGCAACTATCCAAATGCTTCTTCAAAATATCGTCATATTTGCTTAAAAGTAAGCCGCCCCTACCACCCCCACTACGGTACGCCACTGATCCATGTGCTCTTGATGGTTTCGGCAGGCTAACAGTAAGGGGATCTAATGAGAAATCAGATCTCACATATCCGGATTAACTCCACGAAAATTTCAGAGATGGCCTGGCTTTGAACTTGGGTCTGCAGAAAAACTAATCATTTAAAATCGTGTTCATTCAGCCGGGAAAACAGAAATTGGGAAATTGAGATCAGGACGAACGAGCCTTATCAAATGACAATTTACGAGAAGTTCTCATAAAAGTAAGCACTTGATAGAAATGAATCTTTGTGATCTATTAATGGCGTAGAGGAATTAATTTAATAATTATAATTAGCTTTATTTATTAAAAACTTACAAAAACAATGTAGCAAACAGCAA